CTTAGGTCATTAACATCTTTTAATGTTATAAGGATACATACCATTATATTCAAAAACATAAACAAAAACATAAATTATAACCTAAATAATAACCTAAACAAGACAAACCAAAAATTGATTCAGCACTAGTTTCATATTATGGTCACATTTTGACCAATCAATACAATTAAATGAGATTATCGCATAAAATTCAATAAAGTAGTGGCAGGTCACCTTGGTGCATGTTGTCAAACGTTTACTTTCAGGTTCTGGATTTCCTAATTTTCCTCTCCATCCTGATTTGAGGGAAGAACTTGTCAGTGCTGCAGAAAATCCTGTGACTTGTTGGTAGGTGTTTCTCAGTCTGTATTTAGATAATAGTTTAGTCAATAGTTTCTCTGTATTTAGTTAATACTCTGAGATTCGGGCTCAAGAAAACTGGGTACTGAAAGTCACAAGTTGTTTTATTTGTGTTCACATAAGATCTATGATAAGGTGCTGTAATGCTAGTATTCGAAAAGCAGCCAGCTTCTTTTCAAAAGAGGATTAGATAAAGTGTTATTTTTTCTCAATTCACGCTCAGTGGATATCATACCTATCATTAAATTTTCCAATTTCTGTTTGACTGTTTGATTACAGCAAAATGTAGGATTACAACAATTTATGTGTATCATCAACTTCAGGTATACACGAGCTCAAGGACATCCAAAGTTGATTGAAGAGATTATTGCAACATATTCTCCTTTAGTTGGTCGAGAAATTCAACCAACAGAAGCAATTGTAACTATTGGAGCGTATCAGGGAATATTCTGGTCATTTGAAGCGTTTGTTCAAGCTGGGGATGAGGTTATTGTGTTTGATCCTATGTTTGATGCATACCGCTTGGACTGTGTCCTAGCAGGAGCAAAATTCGTTCCTGTAGCACTTAAGTTGGAGGTAAGTGAAATCCTAGATTCATACACAAAGCAGAATACTGAAAATATAATGATAATTATTTCACAAGCAGTTCAACAAAAACTGACTTCGCCAAACCACAGTTCAATTGGCAGCATCGTTATTCGTTAGCAGAAGTTATCATTATATCTAGTCGAGAAAATAGTCGAATAAAATATCAATCACATGATAAAGTCAGGGTTTTAGGGTACAGTAATACAAGTTTGATGTACTTTGATTTTTCAAGTCAGGTTCATGGGTACTAGAGGAGGAATTATTTAAAAACAGCTTTAATTGTAACACAAAGATGATTGTTGTTAACACACCCCACAATCCGACTGGCAAAGTTTTTACCAGGTTAATTTTTTTACTTTGTTTTAACGCTCATATCAAGCTTGTTTTATAAATAATAAATAAATAAATCTAGCATCATAACAGTTTTATTAACTTGATAATCATAAACGGTGGATTGTATTCAAATAAAAATGATTTAACTTTAATGTCGTTCAATTTTCAGGAAAGAGCTTGAATTTATTTCAAAATTGAGTAAAGAGTACAATTGTTTGATACTTGCTGACGAGGTTTATGATCGATATGTATTTGATGGACACGAGCACCTTAGCATTGCATCCTTACCTGGTAAAGTTCAATTCTTGTTAAGTCCTAGTTAAGTTTAATAATTCAATAAGACAGACAGATGTTCCCAAATCCACACATAACTGTATTACTTTTAAGAATATGACATTAGTCTATATTAGCCTTTTTTTTATGAAGTTTATATTACACTTAATTACATGCGTTCGATATTTTATTCATTAATTAATTATAAATAAATGGAGAGTTTTTATTCAAAAGATGGCGTTTGTCAGGAATGTGGGAGAGAACGATAACCCTGTGCAGTGCCGGTAAAATGTTTGGAGTTACTGGTTGGCGGGTTGGTTGGGCATTTGGTGGTGCAAATCTGATTGAGAAGCTTTTTAGGATCTGTAAATGTGACACATTTGGAGCTAGCACTATCCTACAAGAAGCTTTAGCTGGCATGTTGCAGAGGCAAAGACTTTGTATCCCTCCGAAGGAATCATATTTTCAATGGGCAAGCAACATTTTCGTTGAAAATTATACCAAACTTCAAAAAGCTTTTACTAATGCCAATATGCCTGTTATACCGGCGGAAGGTGGGTTTTTCATGATTGTGGACTGCACAAAAAGAAGGTTCAAGTTCCAAGATTCGCCTGAATTTCAGTCATCTGTAGAAACCTTTGATATTAAAATTGCTAAAGGTATTGTTAATAAATACAAATTATCAGTTTTACCTTTGAGCCTTTTTTATGGCTCGGATTCTAAGAGTAAGTTAACCTCGTATCTACGAGTGTGCTTTGCAAAATCCCCTGAATCAGTGGACAAAGCTGTAGAAATCATTGAATCTTTCGAATAATATTTCATTGAAGATATCTACTCTCCGATCTTTTCCATGAACATACTTGACAATACTGGCGTATAAATAAAAAGAATATCAGCCTTAAAGAATTAGCCATCGGTTTTTTGTTTTTCTTAAAAATTTTGTTTCTCTTATAATATATAAATAATGTTTATTCATAATTTTCAATCGATAAATATAATCATTTTCAGCTTTAAGTAATTTTATGATTAGAAATGTTGACATTGTAATTTGTAATATATTTTATACTACTTGTTTGGGTTAACAAATACAAAATTAATTGTTCACTTTCGTTCCAAAATATAACTATGGATTGGTAGACTTGCTGCATTCCTCTCGTTTAGGACACGTTTTTTTTAAAGTGTGGTGAGTTGCTGATTTCACCTTTTTCAAAGTAGAGGGCACAAAATGAGGAAAAAGTCGCAGTGCTTTTTAAAGTGCAACCATAAATTTGTACATAAGATGAAGTGAAAATATTCAGCAGTTGTGATTTGAAAAAACGAAGTGCCAGGCTCAAGCAGAATCTGACTTATGAGCAATTAAACTGAGTGCCAAAAATCAGCAAACCATTTTAACCTCCGATTGACTAATTCCATTGATTTCGCCATATTTTGCTCAAATATTGTTCACATTACACTAGTAGATTGGAGTGAGTAACTGTTTTCAGCCTTTTAGTCATTATTAGCAATTCCAGTAAGTGACAGAAGTCAGTAAAAAGTCATTTTTATATCTGAATACGACTGCTCTATTGATGGTTCTTGTCAAAATATTAAAAAGATCAAGGCATAACTGTGTTTTTTTCTGGATAAGACAATGATTGGTTGTGTCTTTAAACTAATTCCTACATGTTTATGTGCCAGCCATCAGCAAAAAGTCACACATGTATCAGCTTGAAATTTAATTTTTTCTAATTGATGATATAAGTATCGAAATTTCAGTTCTCTTGTTCAGTCACCATATTGACTTTTAGATTGAAGGTGCCATTAATCAGTTAAAAGAAGGCTTGAACTCTGTACTGCTTACACTCAATTATGTCCCGAGTGCCCAAATTCAGCATATCAGTCATATAGATAAATGATGTAAAAAGACAAAAATTGTCTATTTCTTGATCCATGGGTGTACTAGTGTTAGTTTAAGCATCTATTTCGAAAAGTAATGTGTTCATAAAGGGGTCAAAAACAGATAATAATATGAGAGTGCCACTAATCAGCTGTAGTGACTTCTGCAGCCAACGTGGGAATTACCAATTATTATAAGTCAATATCAGCATTATTAATCATATCAAACCACCGAATTGTTTATGTTGCAGATACGAATCTTAATTTAGTTACATCCTGAAAATTTGAACAGCATATGTGTCCTGAAAATCAGTAAAAAGTGACTTATTTGACAGAAATAGTCATTCTTACTGCTAAATGGCACTCTTTTTAGTTCAGAATATTGTTTGAGGGAGCGGTGTGCCTTTTTTGTTTAATGTGGCACAATTTTGTTGCACTGTGTGCCATTATTCAGCTTAAAATGACTTCTTTTTCTAGGCATATACCAATGGTAAATCACATAAAATTTTTGCTTTGTAAGCAGTGTTGTGATAACCTGCTATAACTAACTTAAAACTGGCACAATGAACTTCAAACATCAATAGTATGTACCAAATTTCCATGATGAACATAATATTGTTGTCAGAAATCTACTTTATCGTGCCAATAATCAGCAAAAAGTCATTTCTATGAAGATTTTAAGCTAAAAATATTATTTATAAAATGACTTTTTGCTGAATTAGATCACACAATATCGTTAGATTTTGTAAAGAATCATCTTGATGAACCTGCCTATGCTGTCAGACAACAATTGTATAGTGCCAATATTCAGCAAAGAGTCATTTCTTTTGAATTTTTAATCGTGATGAATTTGACCTAAAAATGACTTTTTACTGAAAACTGACACACTCTTAATTTGATTTTCGAACAGAATGCTGTTGAGCAGACTTAATCTCGAAAGTATGATTGAAAAACGTTATAATTTGTTGCTGTCTAGCTACTGCAATGTAAAAAAATCAATTGTAATTTTGTGAGTGAATTTTTACTGAATACAGGCACACAATAGGTTTTTCCTAGGTTACATTATTACAGACCAACGTTTATTGAAAGTTGTTACAGTTCATTCACAAGCTGATGAAAAGTATGGGCCTTGTACAACCCCTTCAACCAACGAGAAATTTTTCCAAAGAAATGACTTTTTGCTTATTTTGAGCACAGTTCAAGTATTCCTACCAAAATCCAAATATTCTTTGAATAATTCTGAGACATAATCTGAATTTTGAACAGAAAAGTTGCAAAATTCAGTTTTTTATGGGCGTTTTTAACATTATAGTCCAAAATGCTGAAAACTGGCACTGCCTTGGTACTATATTATGACATATTAACTAAGTAATGGATTTTCCTTACAGGGGCAGTTAAGATTGAAGGCATATCTGTGTTACACTTTCTAGTTACTAGTCATTTTACTTACACTGTCAAAAGTGTCATGGCACTCAAAGTCATTTTCACCACACTTAAAAAAAACGTGTCCTTTAGTCAAAGAGTTAACTGTCCAAATAGACTGTAGAGATAATGTAGTTCTTGATCTGCTATTTCACGTCTTCATCACAACTATTTTAAGCTCAGAATGTATTGGATACTGTTTGCGATACTTATCCATTGTGGGCTCTCTCTACCTGTAAATTCAAACCCTGACAATTCAAATCCTGGTTTTCGATTCCAGGTCACTCAGAAAGGCATCAACTACTGTTAGTGGCGAAATGTTTTTATCTGAATAACATTTTAGTAACTGCTCGGATATGATGTTATTGTAAAAGGTTATTTGTAGGTTTATAATTATGTTTCAATTAAGAAATCGGTTTGAGTTCTAACTATCTTCATTAATTATGAGAAGATAAAAGTAAGAAACTTTAACTGCCTCCCCCCCCCCCCCTCAGTGCGTGATGTGCTGATCCCCGTGGTGACTGATGCGATTAAAACTGCTGAGATTCCTCCAATAAATCAGAGGGTAGACACCCCTATTGGCCACATCACCTTCGGATTATCAAGGTCTGTGTAAAACCCTGATTTACCGCAACCGATTTACCGCAAACCCCGATTTACCGTGGATGTTTCCTTTTCCAAAAACTCCGCGGTAAATTAGAGTTTTACTGTTATGTATCATTAAGGAGGAACGTTACAACTGAACTATAGAATTTTATTTTCAAAATTTTCATTCCGTCAACGTTTTTCGGGATAAACTGGTTCGAATACCTTGATGGCGACTTGTGTCACTCTCACCGACCTTGCTGATTGGTCACTGGTCAAAAATTCAGTCAAAAACGCGAAATTTCGGTCAAGGGGACGGCAGAAAAGCTCCTCTTCAAAAATATTCCTAAAATCTAAATATCTTTTTATATTCTGATGATTTTCCGTTTATCAAAGCTTTCTTTGGGAATAGAATTTTGAGTACCTCGATCGTTTCTAAAATTCTGTTAATTGATAATAATTAATTAGTAGAAATTATTTTCCGTGGAATGATATTGGTTTTTATTTCAGTATAAGAATAGGGAATGTTGATATTTCTCACACAACTGTCGAACTGGACACACCTTCCAATGCTGTGGCTGCCATTAGTGACGCTTTTATAGCTGTAAGTTTTCAAATATTAATGATCATAGCTATATTATATATTTATTATTAACAGCTTGCTCAGTTTATTAAATGTGTATCATAGAAAATGAGGAATCATCTTATCAGTTAAATGCACGCTGGAATTACAGAGAAGACTCGTGGCCCCACATTAGTGACGACGGCTCCGTGGACATCAGTGCTACTCAAATATCCATCAACCTCAACCTACAGATTGGTTAGATATTGTTGTGTAGGGACCCGTAGTCCCTATTGTTGTGGGTCTGTGACGTCATGTCACGTGGTGTGACGTCATGTCACGTGGTGTGACGTCACATCAACCTCAACCTCCGCTCCAGATTGGTTAGATATTGTTGTGTAGGGACCCGTAGTCCCTATTGTTGTGGCTCTTAGACGTCATGTCACGTGGTGTGACGTCATGTCACGTGGTGTGACGTCACATCAACCTCAACCTCCAGATTGGTTAGATATTGTTGTGTAGGGACCCGTAGTCCCTATTGTTGTGGGTCTGTGACGTCATGTCACGTGGTGTGACGTCATGTCACGTGGTGTGACGTCACATCAACCTCAACCTCCAGATTGGTTAGATATTGTTGTGTAGGGACCCCTATTGTTGTGGGTCTTAGACTTAACTCCTTTTAGACTTCGTGGAAGAATTATGTGGCTATCGTTGGTGCTGCAGACAATAGTTCTCTTTAAATCACCTGCTAATCACATACTAATTACTTAGTAAATACCTACTAATTACTCACTAATTACCTAGTAAATACCTACTAATTACCTACTAATTACTCAATAATTACATATTACAAACGACTCACTATTATTAAAGGTACAACAGACAAGGGAGAACCTCATGTGACCACTAAAACATGCTCCTTTAACATTGGTCATGTTGATGTTACTTTCCATGGAGGCGCCAGCTGGCTTTACAATCTGTTTAGCAGTAGTATTGCTGATGCTCTTAAGGACGCTATCAAAGATCAGGTGCAGACATTTTACCTTGCTTATACTAGCTTTATACTCATCGCAGTTATTCAATCACATGTAAAGAAACCTGTTAAAAAGAAATTATTTTTAGATACAAGTATTAATTTAATCGACAATTCTATACTTTACACATGTTTGTCAGGTGTGTCCCCTGGTTACAGATGCTGTTGATACTAATCTCAATGATATTCTGGATACTGTAGACCTCAAGGCAGACATTGATGACAACTGCTACATTGATTATTCTCTTGTACAACCTCCTTTTGTCATTAAAGATGCCATCTTTGTCAATGGAAAAGGTAAGTGACCCTGTTAATGGCATAAATTTCCAATGCTTGAAGTTGAAATCTGATTTTATTTAACCATGAAAGTTATTTATGAACCAGCATAACTCTACGTGTCTCAGCTACATAAAAGTAGATGTACGACGTACGTGTTCTATCATATTAATAACCTCATTTTTCAGGAGAAATATTCGATAAATCCGACCCAAAAGAGTGTCCGTCCCCTAAACAAGACATGCCTGAAACAGTGGACAGTGAGAGGATGGTAACACTTTGGATAACTGAGTACATGTTGAACACTGCTGGATACGCTTACCAGACCGCTGGCTTCCTCCAGTACAACCTCACCAGCGATGATGTTAGTTTTTATTGAAATAATATTTTGTGTTAATTTAAACTTTTTAGCTCTTACAACTTTTCGGTAATACACTACTAGTTTGACGGTCTTTGGAATGTGAGCAATGCTGGTATCATTGTCCATTGTAATACAGTGTAAACTGTCTTAAGGTTTACTTTATTACAGATTCCGGACAAGATCCCCATAAAGATGACCACTGGTTTCTTCAAATACTTTGTCCCCATCCTTTACAAGACATATCCTGACAAGGATCTCACTCTCTGGTTATATGTCACAAAACCTGTTACATTCGACGTAAACAAAGCAGGTTATTAGATTTCTCTTAAAACAAAGTAATAACCTTTAGATTACAGCAATGGTATTTACTATTTGTAACACAGTTAACAACAAAGCTACTTACTCATGTCTAATATCTATTTATTTTTAGGAGTGAGTGGTAGAGCAGAGGGAACAATAACTTGGCTGGTCCATGTTAACGATACTTTAGTTCCTGTCTTTACCCTGGACGCTCAACTTGATCTCTGTGTTAATCTCAGTGTTCAACTTGGATCTAACTCTGAAATATACCTTGATCTCATCACTGTCGAGTAAGTGAAACAACGCAGCTTTTATTCTTTTATTGGTTAATTACTTGCGTGTGATTCACGGTATAAATTAAGCATACATACAACCATTTATCAAGATAAGTTAGAATAAGTAAAGAATAGATTTGCCATTATCCTGTGCCTCTCTAGTGTATATATTTATTTAAGATAGCCTATGATTTAAATAACTGTACTTTCAGACCGTACATACAGCTGAAGAGTTCGAACATCGGCAACTTCTCCGTCAGCGCCCTCCAATCATTCATCAAGTTCTCCAGAGCACTCATAGTCCCATTCGTCAATGCTCTTGTCAATAATGGTATTCCTCTGCCTTCCTTTGATTACGTCTCTTTTACTGGATTTGACTTCAACTTGGAGGATGTAAGTATCTTCTCTCTTTTAGTTTTTACACCCTTAGTATACCTATACTTTACACCCTATACTTCTTCTGTTATCGGAAACATATCATGATACTATATAACCGAATGATAGAATTCATTACTGGTATAATTATATATGGAATTAACGGCGCCAGCTGGACCCTTAAAAACACTGGCACTAGCATCAGGATCCGTATTATGTATGCCCAAATGTTTAACTGGGTAGTTAGATCAACATTTGTTGCAACATCAAATACAGATAATATTATGATCTGTAACATATCACATCCTCGTGACACAAAGTAAGCCTCCAACATAACAGTGTCTCTTCTTTAGGGCTACATACAGATCCACACTGATATAAAGTACGTTCCTAATGAGAGGGTCTCCTCGGAGCGAGAATATTACTCACTTTCTAAAGATGGTTTTGAGTGTAAGATGAAAGATAAAGACCTCTGGGCAAACACAGTGGCGGACGACATCTTTTCTTACTTTTCAAATGAAGTTAATTGATTCTGATAGACTTATGGGTGGTTTTCTGTTGACATTTCTTTGAATAATATTAATATGACTTGTTCAAATTTTATGCATTTTTGCTTTAAATTCGATGGTGATTTTTATAAAATGTAAGCATTCAATGATTTTTATACGTGAGCATTCAATGATTAATTGTATTTTTATATGTAGCATTCAATGATTGATTTTTATAATATGTTAGCATTCAATGATTGATTTTTATAAATAAGCAGAGACATGTAATGACATGTAATGACATGTAATGACATGTAATGACATGTAATAATCATTAATTAGTTAAAGTGTGATAGTAGATTGTTTTACAGTTAGTTTACAATTTTTGATTTTGTATTTGTTTTAGAAATTTATTATTGTTTGTACGTATGATATTTGTCAAACAGTTGTTCATGATTTCACCTTTTAAAGTTTATAATTATCATATGTGCAGAATTTCACTTGTGAGATTGACGTCTAAGAAGTTCGACCCTTCTACGTGCAATTCCATATAATGGAATTTCATTTAAAATTCCATCCAAAATTCCATCCCCAACTCCACTCCAAATTCTATGGAGAACTGCAAATTAACTAGGACTTAATATTATCATGTTATATATAATATAAATATTACAAACTCAACCACATTAATAAATTACATTAAAACGTTAAATAATTCTCACGCTTCGATAGACTACCGTTCTTCTTCACGTCGTTGGCATACTTCTTCTCCAAAACCTCCGTCGAAATAACTACTTGAATCGTTGTATAGTTGTATTGTTGTATTGTTGTATTGTTGTATTGATGTCGTTGATGTCATTCCAACTTTGTATTTATAATTCATAATTTCGTGTTGCAAATGTGTATATAATTCAATTGGCTTGGGCTTGCTCTGAGGGAGTTTCGACTTCTGAAAATTCTCAAAACTCGATAATTAGTTCGATTTATTAGAGTAATACTCCTGTCTCGGTGTTGAATAAATTTGTTTTGTTGTTGCCAGGTGTGAGGTCCGCCTGGTATTATCACTGGGTCAGGTGAGTGGTATTACCCGATGAGATGAGACGATTTAATAAGTCGGACAAGGAATGAATGAAATTCAGCATTTACGGATGAATTACTCCAATCTCTAGTCACAAATATGATTATAAAGTTTTTAAATATCCTCTGCGGTGGTGATTAATCATGATTTCTACGAGTCTTGGCACCATTATAGGGTTATACGGGTTCCTGCTATTAGTTGATGGGTTCTTCCTTTCAATCTTATTTCTCAACGTGGTTTTTTTGGATTTTCTGTCAAGAATCGTGTTTTCGGGTTGAGAATGAAATGCAGATGATTTGTTGAATGTTATTTAACACTTTTATCTTTCGTCCGTTTTTAACTTGTCCGTTTTGTCCAGAGTTTTATACTTTGTCCATGGATTCAACTAAGAATACTTTAAAATAGATAAGATACCAAATCTTGGCGAGATATCATGAGTGATAAATTCCTCCTGGGTGTTATTATTTTGTTGATGGGAACAGAGCAATGTGAGTACCTATATAAAATGAAGTCTCCACTTGAAAAAATCAATATAAGTAATTACTTTAGCTAGATCAGTAGCTTCACTTCACAGGTGCATAAATATGTTTCTATGGCAGTTTTATTTGAAACCCGTTTGTATCGTTTCATATGTTTTCGTTATTGACACGATCAAAGCACACCAATGCAAAATTCAAGCCCTTCCTTCATCTTTGTCAAGAAATTGACAATTATGAATAACTAATAATTGAGCTCTGCCACAGGTTTAACCTGGAGTACAATACACAGAAGCACTGGAGATAGCAATCTGATTAATGTGGACTTCAACAGTTATGATTTGGAAGTTCAAGCAAGTGATAGTGGTGATGGCCAGTTTGATATCCATTTTCAGTATGGATCAGGTTGGATAGCCCTTGAATGGCATTTGAGCTCGTCCAGTTCAACCATGTCAGTAAATATTCACACAACAGGATTAGACACTAGCTCTGGTTGTGACACGGATGCAACGCTTACCAATGTTCCTGTACCAAGCACCTCTACCAGAACCTGGAAACTCAGTAGAGATTCGAACTACCTAAGTATTTACTGCAGTGGAATCCTAGTAGGACAACTTAATCGGGAGAGTTATTTTAACTGCCTATCAACTTCACAGTGGCTAAGCTTAGGAACAGGGAGTTATCCCGTATACTTCTATTCCGATTCTGCAGTAACGCATTACTACAGACTTTCCAGAAAATGTAAGAATTTGTTTCATGACATGATAACTGTTTCCTATATGTATTGAGAATGACCAAATAGTATATAATAATAATATATAATATGACACGACATGGTCACATTTGACAAAAACCCAAATAATTTTGTACAGGCAGGACAATAAATGGAGGATGGAGCAGCTGGACTGGATGGGGTAGCTGTACCTGTAACTACAACTCTGGCACCGGAACAAGGACCCGAACTAGATCCTGCAACAACCCCTCACCAGCCTGTGGGGGGTCATCCTGCTCAGGATCATCTTCCGACACAGGAAACTGCGACAGTCAATGTTGTAAGTATATTCAAAGAAAGGGTTGAAAGGGAACTAGGCAAGGCATGAAGGCAATTTTGAATTTTAAATATGTTCTAGGTAGGAATTTAATGGCATAGGTATTGCATTCCCATACTTGATTATTCAATTCCCATACTTGATTATTCAAATTTTGTTGAAGCAAGGATTAATATTAATAAAGTAACAATTATTCGTGTCATAAAATCGATAATTTTTTTGTGGTCCTTTGGGTCCTATGTTCACTCCTGATGCCAAAATGCGATTAATATTTCAGGCTCCGCTGGAGACTACATGAGTGACACTGGATGTCAGCAATGTGGAGAGAATACCTTCAGCAGCGATGGAGCTTCTTTGTGTACTTATCTACCGATAACTACTGTAATAACGAGTAGCCGTGGCTCCGTGGGCCTCCTTGTGGAGTCCACATCATTTTACGTGGACGGCGGGTGGAGTGACTATGGAGATTGGTCTAAGTGCTCTGTAGAATGCGACGTAAGAACTCAGTCTAAAAACGGATCCTGTGATAACGCTACCCCACTCTATAAAGATGCGGACTACAAGCAGGAGATTGAAGAAGAGAACACTTCACCACATAACTTGGGTAAAATATGGTATTTACTGCTATGTTATTACAACCTCCTCATGTTCTGTAATTGCGGAATATGATTATGAAAAGAATGATTTATAACAATTGTAAACCGTGAACAGGAGGAAGAAGAGAACACTTCACCACATAACTTGGGTAAAATATGGTATTTACTGCTATGTTATTACAACCTCCTCATGTTTTGTAATTGCGGAATATGATTATGAAAAGAATGATTTATAACAATTGTAAACCGTGAACAGGAGGAAGAAGAGAACACTTCACCACATAACTTGGGTAAAATATAATTTGGTTATGATCTGAATTAGGAATGCTAAAACGGTCACAATTTCCTCCTGTTTACGCTTTATTATTGTTATAAATCATTCTTTTCATAATCATATTCCGCAATTACAGAACATGAGGAGATTGTAACAACATAGCAGTCAATACCAAGCTGACTCTCATATTTCAGAAAAGCACCCTCCTTGCTCCTGCTGGAATGGGGAATGTGGATATTGTCCCAACTTGTCTCATACCGTAAAGCAGAGTATAACATCTTATCCAGACCAGGACATCGAAGTTCGCTCCACTATCAAGAGGCTCTATAACAGTTCTATTGCGCTGTTTGATGAAGCTGGAAGCATGTTAGGAATGTTCCACTGGAATCGTGAGGGTGTGGTGCTGACAGGATGTATTGGATGTTACAGACCAAGAGCTTTGGAGAGGATGTGTCCTTGGAACAAGTGCACTCAGTGGATCTTTTCCTTCAAAGACGGACATGTTCAGATCAAGATCAAAGGAGAGGGTCTGAAACAGTCCTCTACCATATGTCGTGTGAAGACAACTTCTCCTTCGTTTCACAGAATATGGAAAGAATCAGATTGAGCTCAAGCGAAATTGACTCATCAAAAACTGAACAGCATCCAAATCCATGAAGTCCAATGATTGACCTATGTTTTTCTAATCACTGATTAGTGACATTAATAACTTATAAGCATGGCAGATAGTAAAGTTTCTGGAAAAGTATCACTACAAACAGATTACTTGTTCTTGTTGCAACTGATTACAACTTGATTTTATCAAGTAAGATTTCCCTAAAACAGTTTTGCGCCCCCTCGTTTAACATTCAGATATGTTTCGGGAAATGATAATTATGTTGAGGCGCATATTGCAACTTATTTTATAATTTATATCCTCAGTAACATTGGAACTAACTAATATATGCTGATGTTGATCAATTTCGAAGATAATTTCGAGATTTAACTTTATGAACCGATTCTTTATGTTAATCTTATATCTTATACAGTTATACCAATCTTTATGGTTTACACATCAATTTACTTTAGATGTCACCCTAAAAGGATCTCAACTTGTTAATCGTTAACAAACAATATCTTTCCTCCAGTAAAACTTCACCAACAATGATGCTAGTTTGAAATTGGAAATGGGGACCCGACCCATCATTTATACAAATGGTCTTTATTCTGGTACATGCTAGTTCATTGCTTTATAAGCGTGATTTTACATTCATGTTTCCCAGTGGGATTAATTTAATCCCACCGATACCACCGGCCCAAAGCCCACCAGTGGCGTAACGTTGCCTGTTGGCGCCCCCCCCCCCCCCCACCGAAAAAGTAAAATACCCGAAAACTATGTTTTTGGGTAAGTTAAAGGTAATTTTTGGTGACAAACGGATTTGAGTCATTCTCAAAGTAGGCTTTGACAATAGCATTTTTGAGCCTTACTGATAGTAATAGTTATATACTTATACTATACATTGTTATTAGGGATGAGATCATTCCAAATTTTGGTGAACAGAAAGTTCTGTTGGGATCATATCTAATCTCAGTAATGGGATCAGAAGAAGTTTCTCATTTTTAGGGCAGAACTTGAATGTATGATACATGTGCGGATTCAGTGAACAGCAGTTTAGTGTGTTCAAGACAGTAGTTCTCGCTAGCCATAATATGTTTATTATAAGTTCTCGAACGTGCACAATGCACATGTTAAGTAGTATTCTTTATGATCAAAATCGGGGATGTTACCAATTAGCAGTCTTATTAGTGCTTTTCATGCAACAAGTAAAACAAATCCTTTATGTCATGTTTCCAGGGTTTGGACTGGAATTGCCTGCTTAAAGAACCTCCATCGCATTACATTACATAATTTTCTCAATAAATGTAATAGATTTGTAGTGTTGTAATTAGTTTAAAATTAGGACGCAATGAAACTACCGGACCACGATGTATGGGGACTTGCCACCCCATGGCAACATTAAAATATATCGATTCTGTTACATCGTTTCCTGTTATATATTAATATAAAACTCCGTTACAAAATGAACTGGGATCAATCATCAATGTGTATAGTGCCGTTCTCCATGCGGTTCGGCTTTGAATTTTAAGAGATTCCTTAAGGCACGCTGATCGATAATAGAGGACTTCAAGTCTCCGTCGTACTCCGTTTTATCAATTTGCATCAACCTGGATATAATCTCTACTATAATTCAGAGAATTGTTTTTGTTGTATGTATGTATGTACGACCGCCCACGTGCAAATTAGACGAGAAATAGGAATTTAGGTAACAACCAAAAGGTTCCATAGCAACGGTGTTTTAATGCACAAATGCACGTGCAAAGATTGTTTTAACGTCATTTTGATCGGTTTTGTGGTAATTACGTTGTGTTTTAAAGTGTTTTATATTTAAATCGGCTGTATCTTCGGTTGAGATGGATATATTTTGATGCGATTAAAACTTTCTTTCAAAGAATACTACTAGCTTCGTCCCTGTTACCACGGGCTTTCTAGTCTCTACTATAATTCAGAGAATTGTTTCTGTAGAATGTATGTATGTACGACCGCCCACGTGCAAATTAGACGAGAAATAGGAATTTAGGTAACAACCAAAAGGTTCCATAGCAACGGTGTTTTAATGCACACATGTACGTGCAAAGATTGTTTTAACGTCATTTTGATCGGTTTTGTTTTCGTTGTGTTTCTAAAAATATTTCCCAGTTAAAATGAAAATTAATAATTTAAAAACTCGTTTAAAAAGATTAAAAGATACCGATAATAGATAAATTAAAGTTAAAATAAATAAAATTACTCAAACACTTTAGCGGCACCGTCGATGAACTTTGCCAAAGCAATATCCTTCTCGGACAAACCTCCACATTCATGAGTAGAGAGTGTAATATTAACTTTGTTGTACACATTAAACCTCCACATTCATGAGTAGAGAGTGTAATATTAACTTTGTTGTACACATTAAACCACCACATTCATGAGTAGAGAGTGTAATATTAACTTTGTTGTACACATTAAACCACCACATTCATGAGTAGAGAGTGTAATATTAACTTTGTTGTACACATTAAACCACCACATTCATGAGTAGAGAGTGTAATATTAACTTTGTTGTACACATTAAACCTCCACATTCATGAGTAGAGAGTGTAATATTAACTTTGTTGTACACATTAAACCACCACATTCATGAGTAGAGAGTGTAATATTAACTTTGTTGTACACATTAAACCACCACATTCATGAGTAGAGAGTGTAATATTAACTGTGTTGTACACATTAAACCTCCACATTCATGAGTAGAGAGTGTAATATTAACTTTGTTGTACACATTAAACCTCCACATTCATGAGTAGAGAGTGTAATATTAACTTTGTTGTACACATTAAACCACCACATTCATGAGTAGAGAGTGTAATATTAACTTTGTTGTACACATTAAACCTCCACATTCATGAGTAGAGAGTGTAATATTAACTGTGTTGTACACATTAAACCACCACATTCATGAGTAGAGAGTGTAATATTAACTTTGTTGTACACATTAAACCTCCACATTCATGAGTAGAGAGTGTAATATTAACTTTGTTGTACACATTAAACCACTCGGGATGGTGATCGACTTTGTCAGCACGGAGCGCCACGCGCGTCATGAAACCAAACGCCTCGTTAAAATCCCGGAAGAGAAACTCCTTGTGGATGGCATCCCGATCATCTTGTAACTTCCAGCCTTTTTCTATAATAGCTGCGAGATCAACAGATCTCTGTTCGTCGCTAAGTTTACATACTTTAGCGACGGACAGGGCTGTGGTGTGACATAGGAGGCTGGAGAGGAGGGCTGTAACGAGAAGTTTCATCACAAACATGGGCACATCCTGTGTGTTGTGATGTTTAAGTAAGGGGTACATGTATCTACCCGCCAAGATTGAGGGACGGATAATTTTTTCAGAAAATTTGGGAATTGCGTCTTCGCATTTCTAATATAATCTGTTGTCTAAACTAATTTAATACAATAACAAATTTTCAACTTATCAACCAAAAAGCAAACACAATCTCGGAAGCTTTCTCAAAGGTGTAAAACACTATTATATATATTAACAAAAACAGCTAAGTAATGTTCTAAGAATATTTCCTAGTAGCTTATAATGTAAGTTATACTGTATACATACCTTCACTATGTACCTTAGTATGTATATCTCCTTTTGTGAAGATAAAGTTTGACAAAACACGTGATACCCATATAAGGAGCTACACTGCTTGAACATGTTCACTGCAAACATTTTTCGAGTTTTATTTTTTTATTATAATATATATGAGACAAGAGAAACGTAATCTTATGACGCAAGGAGAGTCAGGGCTCCTCGGACTACATTAAATCAATTCCTTCTGAAACGTCCTCAATATTAATGTAATAGATTTGACAAGATTTGTAGTGCTGTAAATAGTTTAAAACCATTGGAAAACACGACAAATAATACGCTTTTATCTTGAAGTTGAATTTACGAAAAAAACGGGGTCACGTGACTGACAAATACTACATTAAAAAAACCAGAATTCGTCTATAACAATTCCCGCAAACCATCTATTCAAGTGTAAACACTAAACAGCCGCTGAGCTTTCTTTGTGTAAACACAAAGAAAGACACCTCCTTCCATTACCGGGACTGTTTTAAAAAAAACAGCTGCGGTAAATTGGGATTTACTACATATTTCTAATATTTGTAATATTTCTAATGTTGTCTGCTCCGTCTAATAGTTCACATTCCATTTCCATTGTTGTGAGGGTCCTATCAGCACTGGTAGTAGTAGTACGTCATGTTGTCCTATCAGCACTCCTACGTTCTCCTGTTCTCAGTTTACAAGCCTGGCAGTGTAAAAGGATTCTTGCCTTGTAGTCGGCAGTAAACAGTGGTATCTGCGGCACTATCAGTCCAGATAGTTTACAGGCCTGGCAGTGTAAAAGGAATCTTGCCTTGTAGTCGGCAGTAAACAGTGGTATCTGCGGCACTATCAGTCCAGATAGTTTACAAGCCTGGCAGTGTAAAAGGATTCTTGCCTTGTAGTCGGCAGTAAACAGTGGTATCTGCGGCACTATCAGTCCAGATAGTTTACAGGCCTGGCAGTGTAAAAGGAATCTTGCCTTGTAGTCGGCAGTAAACAGTGGTATCTGCGGCACTATCAGTCCAGATAGTTTACAAGCCTGGCAGTGTAAAAGGATTCTTGCCTTGTAGTCGGCAGTAAACAGTGGTATCTGCGGCACTATCAGTCCAGATAGTTTACAAGCCTGGCAGTGTAAAAGGATTCTTGCCTTGTAGTCGGCAGTAAACAGTGGTATCTGCGGCACTATCAGTCCAGATAGTTTACAAGCCTGGCAGTGTAAAAGGATTCTTGCCTTGTAGTCGGCAGTAAACAGTGGTATCTGCGGCACTATCAGTCCAGATAGTTTACAAGCCTGGCAGTGTAAAAGGAATCTTGCCTTGTAGTCGGCAGTAAACAGTGGTATCTGCGGCACTATCAGTCCAGATAGTTTTTCTATTAGGTCCAAAATAAATGGAGGATCTCATACGGCCATTGTAGCTGGGGTGGTTGACGACAGTTGCTGGTTTCCAGTTTGCTCCTTGCACAAAACCCGGGTTCTCCCACCCATTATCTGCTGTATTGGAGCAAGACCAAGACTCGTCAGTGGCCGCAATAATGTGCCTTGATCTATCTCCTCTTTGGAGCGAGGCCATGATCCCATAACTATTTCCTATGTTAACGCATTTGATGGCAATGACTTGAGTGTATGATTTAACCCTAGTATAACCCATAGCGTCATAGACCCCTTGGCCCCTTATGTATGTTTGCTTTCCGTCAATCCAGACTGTCATTTGATCATCACATGTCGCCAACAAAATGTTGTCTGCTGAAATGCAGGAATAAGATGAGCTGGTTATTGGTTAATATTGATATTAGATTACAAGCAATTAAGGTTCATTGCTCGAGTTGCGACCAGTGTTTAGAAAAGTTGTCCAAATCAGTTTTTTGAACAAAGATTTGTCTAGAAAGAGACTCTTTTGTAGAGAGAATCCTCAGGTGGAGTATATTGTAAAGATGAAATATTACCTGCTGCTGCAAGATGCAGGGACGCGAGACTCACAACCACTAATAAAAGAAACATAATGTTTTGGATAGAAAGAAATGTGATTGATGATCAGAACACCGTTGCTCCAATCAGCACGTCTTGGAAAGATGTCTGTTTATTACAATCGCAAACTTTGTACATTAACAATCACTTGGGCCGTGGCTACTGTATCCACTATATCATGAGACCCCATACGGCCGTATGTGTTATATTGAACAACATACTGAGCAATATTCTAGAAGGGGATTAAGGGGATTAACCCTAAATTTGTTGTGAAACTTGTTTTCGGATTGTAGTTGACCACAAACTAGTTTCCACAATCCACATTTTAATAGATATTGAGCGATAGTTCACAGATAATATGTAGTTTAGGCTTACCTTTCATAGAAATGTTGATATTTGACCAATTTATAGGTTGAAATCTATCAAATTTGGTGCGTATGCCCAAATATGGATATATGGTTTTTTGTATACAAGTTCAGGAAACCTCTTCCTATAAGTAAAGCGCTTAAATTCTGGGATTTTGGGCATGTTGAGGTAATTTAGGGCTGGGACCCCCTCAAAAGTTGGGACACTAGTTTGTTGGTCAACTACTATCTCGAAGGCAAGTGTATTTAAAGCAAGATGTAAAAGGATGACGTGTCCCCCCCCCCCCTGTAACTCGTACTCTGTTTTATAGATCTGGAACATTGTTCGCTCGGTATGTTGTTCAATATAACACATACGGGGTGATGAAGTGATCACTGTGGAGTGTGGATTAGTCTCCAGCACTCTGTCTCTATCGGGTCCTTCAACGTTAAGCTGATGTTGTCGTTCTATTGTTTATATTATCTCTAACCATAGCTTGTATAGGAGAGAATTTATCACTACAAGTTGACCTTTAATTGTTTGTTAAAACAATTGGAAACTATGGGAAGATGTAAAAGGATGACGTGTTCCCCCCCCCCCCTTCCCCCCGTAACTTGTACTCTGTTTTATAGATCTAGATTGTAGAATATGCTATTTAGATATTGACCACATTTCATATGATCGTAGGATAATTTAAGGGGCAATTTAAGAAGATCATGGCAAGGATTAGGACTGTTGTAGAAGCGTGCACATTCCTTCTCCTATTACCGTTGGTGTTCAATTCCGCCCTTCCAGAAACCAATAAACGTCTGATAGATATCACACAGGACATGATGATGAGGGTGTCAAGGGTTGTGGGTAGTACGTATGAACCATAATTTGTTAGATATAGTCCATTCAGAGTCCTCCTAGAATAGGAAAAGTTTCTAGAAAAATGCTGATCTCAGTCTACAAGAGTACAAGTGGTTATCAAAGTCCAAATAGACACGACGCAATTTGATGTTGTAAAACGGTTAAAAAAACAAATAATTTGAGGACAACATGACACTCCAAAACTTTGAACATAACACGAGGAAATATGGACAGAACTGAACAAGAACAAAAACCACATTCAAAGACTGAGGAATCAGGAGGACTCTGCAGTCTGCAACCCAGGAATCAACTACTTAGCGATGATCGCTCAATAATCGGTTTGGTATCGACGCTACATACTTTGATTTGCCGACTTTAAAGCTGACTTAAGAAACCAGGGAATTAGTTTTACCTTCCTAAAGTTAAATCGTTGATTTTATTTTTATATCACTTTCTTTTTTTTTCTTTCTTCAAAACATTCCAGTACTTTGTGCAGAAAGTTGAAGATTAAAAATTTTGGAAGCATGTAGGGATATACACCTGATATCGATCGTAAATACTAAAAATACTCTAGCACAAATGTAACAGCAGTTTTACAGAACTCTAAACAAGATGGCACAGGACAGGCACAGAGTGAATCTGCACAATGCATCTATATTCTATATATTGTTAAGTGTCATCAAACAAATGATACGACGTATTCCAGGGTGATCTGCTGAAGACTCAACTAGTTTCGGCCTTTGAGGGCCATCCACAGGAGTGTCACCTAGCAGAAGTCAAAAATTTAATAAACTGATATCAGAAGAATATGTCATATTATCATATTAGTAAACATACGGTTAATTAATCTGAAAATCCATAGTAAAGTTACAAACTCATGGGGCAGAAAAAAAAAACCAAAGTGTAAACTCAGAGTACAAAAGTGAGAACTAGGAAGCGGAAAATATAGCCGTACACCCAGTGAAAGAACGTGAGGTGTGACCTGAACCAAAGATAACATTAATTGCCACTGACCTTGCTCCTATTTAAACCAATTATCCTGGCTTTAAATCTCTCGATAAACATATCCTCATACATGTTCAGGTCATCTCTATTGCATTTGCGGATACTCCCAAAGTTAAAACTAGAAAGTTTATCATCTAACATTTCATAATGCACATCGTGAATGTGCAGAGCTAATGATGACTTATTATAATGTTCTGGTTTGAAAGCTGCTCTGTGGTTATTCATGCGTATATTGAGGGGTAGCCATGTCTGGCCAAAATAGAAGCCACTCGAACATAACTTACATTGAGCTACGTATATAACATTCTCATCTCTACAATTTAAACTCATATCTAGTTCACATATCTGATTGTTAACAATAAATTTCCCATCAGCGTTGTTGTCCGTGAGTTTGCAAGTCAGGCATCTTGGTCTTTTACATGCTTGTGATGAGGTGTTGTTGTCTCTTCTAGACTGTTCCACGTATTCTGCTGGTGTAGTGGCGAATTTTCTTCGTTTGAAGAGTTGGTCACTTATGTTACTGCCTCTTCTATTTGCGATAGTGATGGATACGTTCTCACCAATTATGTGTTCGATAGTCTGTTTCTTAGATTCTAGGAACATTCTGAGGTCTTTTAGTTCTTTGCAGTATTGGGCAGATAGTATCAGATTAGTAGAGGTTTCCTCCTTTTTCTCTACAACCGTTTTCTTAGGTTTCAGACGTTCATTCCTATCTACCAAATTCACCTTTTCTAGGATAACCTTAAGTTCCTGCTCATCATAGCCACTTTTCTTCAGGTCCGAAATTATGTCTTTAGCTGCTTTATCAAATGCTTTCTCGTCTGAGCATATGGTTCTTGCTCGTAGTAGTTGTGAATACGGGACGCTTTTGAATACATGAGGAGGGTGGTAGCTATTTCTTTGTAAAAATGATCTGTTATCTGTTGATTGATTGATTGATTGATTGAGGAGCACTACCCGAAGGCATTACTCGGCACTAACGCCTTAAAATCTTTAATTACAATCAAATATAAATATATGCACACAATGTATAAAGTATTAATAATGTATAAAATATGATTATGCTATTAGCAAATTTAAATAGTACTATTAAGAATTTTAAATAACTCTTATCTCTTGACATAAATTTAGAACAGCGACACAGGGTCTGAAGAATGCGCGGTGATATTTTTATCTTTTAAAAGTTGTAAATGACAGTGAAATTGCGCGGTTTCGATAGCATTGTAAAAAATGCTCGAAGATAGTCATATTTTGTTATGAGGTTAAAGTTTTGTTGCTCGTTATTATGATCAACGTATGTTCTACCAAATTATTTAAATTTCTAAAAGTACGAAATTTGAGTTGTCCCAGTCCTTGTCATCCGGTTTATGTGCTTGTGCAGTAAGCACATGCTTGTTGACTGTAGACTTGAATGAATTTAGGAATTTGTCTTGTAGGCAAGTGGTGACATATTTTATGTCCTTGTTAATAATGTTGACTGTTTGGTTATATAACTTAGGCCCAATGTAAGAAATGCTCTTGTCTGAATTACATAAACGGTTAAATGGTACTGCAAAGAACTCAGGTTCTCTTCTAGGTGCGTTTAAGTTTGAAACAGTGAACATTCTTATAATATTTGGTGGTGCAGTGTTAGAATAAACTTTGTGCATTAAGCATAATATACATTTAGCTATCACGTTCGGTAAAGCTAATACTTCTAGTTTATTGAAAATTTCCTTTGTGTGTGAAGGTGTGCTATTCAGATCTTTGTCATAAAAATAGCGGTGGTATTGGTTATCTGCAGCGCGAATGCCCTTTTTCTGGGCCGAGAAGACTCTTTTAACGGAGTTTAGCGATCTTGTTCCCCAAACTGTGCAGCAGTAGTACAAGTGAGACTGAACAAAGCTGTTGTATATCAACTTGAGTGCTTTGTTAGGTACTGAGCCTTTGAGTTTGTAGAGAATACCCGCATTTCTAGATACTTTAGTGGCTAAATGTCTAATGTGGTGGGCCCAATTTAGCTTAGTATCAATGATCACGCCAAGAAACTTTTCGTGATAACTTTGCTTTAGTCGCTCACCTCCCATGTAGATTTCTATATCCTTAGTTTTTTTATTTGTAAAGATCATATATTTAGTTTTGCTAGCATTTAATTTGAGCCCGTTATTAGTAGCCCAATCAATTATCAAAGTCAGAATCTCATTCACCAATGCATTAAGTTGTTCAAATGTATCTGTACTTATTATTAGGTTTGCGTCGTCAGCGAAATAAATATGTTTAGCTAAATTACTAATCTGAGGAAGGTCGTTGATGTAGATTATGAACAGAATTGGTCCGAGAATGGAGCCCTGTGGTACTCCGTAGTTAAGTTTGAGGTGAGAGGACTTGCAGTTGTTGACGCTCACGTATTGCTCTCTATCGGTTAGATATGAGTGAAACAAAGATAAAGCCAACCCCCGAACTCCATAGTGCTCAAGTTTTCTCAGAAGAATACTGCTGTCAACCATGTCAAAGGCCTTGCTGTAGTCCAATAGAAGCAGTGCTGTGACCTGCTTTTTTTCTAGTGCCCTGTGAATATGGTTTTGGGCTTCTAGTAAAGCATGTTCGCAGCTGTGCCCAGCCCGAAATCCGTATTGAGAGTCAAATAGGATTTTCTCTGTCTTTAAGTGATCTAATAGTCGCGCTTGCATAATTTTTTCAAAGATTTTTGAGAAACATGAGAGTAGTGAGATAGGTCGATAGTTTGAAACTTCAGCACGTGACCCACCTTTGTGAAGTGGAACTACTTTCGCGATTTTCAATTTATGCGGAAACTTCCCCTGATGTAGAGACGCAGAGACTAGGCAGCTAAGCACTGGTGCAAGTATATTGCTCAC